TGATCTGAAAAGGAGGAAAAAAACCCACATGCACAGATTCTTGGCTTCTTAAAACAATATAGATGACAAAGGAGGGAACTACGATGGAAATGAACACAGCACAGCTCGGCCGATGGTGACGCTTTAAAATGCCCCTTTCTTCCAAATAAAGAGTATTTTGGAGGGGGATTGATTAGGAAATAACAATTACTTGCATCTACACATCACAGCATTGTCAGGTACACATCGCTCCCTTGCTCCGATCCCCCACCAGCAGCCACCAATGCTTACACCATTCTCCTTTTTTTTTTTTTTACCCATTTATCAATTCCTTAGGTTTCCATGGCCAGGAGCAGGGTCTGGGGCCACGCAGGACTCCAGATGTGACCCTGCAGCCCCCTGCACGGTACCAGACCTCCCACCTCTGAGCTGGCCTCTCTTCTCCTATTTATACACCCCGTCCAGGGGTCCCGATGCTGCCCTAACCATTGCCAGATGGCGAGATGGCCTTCCTCATCATCCTACCCTGATCCCATCAGCTCCCGGATCCCTCCTGACCTCCCTCCCAGCCATCGTGGGCTGGAGCAGGGATGTCCACTCCACCATACTGAGATGAAAGCCATTATGATCTGCCTGAATTCCTGACTTAGGAGCAGAACTACTGTGCTGCGAGCCTGGGAAGGGTCTGCAACGCCACCGTGGAGGATGCAACCACCCAACCCCATATGCATGAGCAAACTCTAGCACAGAGGTGGCTGATGACTGGTTTAAGCACTTTTTTAGACCTCCCCAGACAGCAGTCCTAATGTCTCCTCCCCAGCTTCAGAAAGCAACTTGACTCCAGCAAATAAGGAGCAGAGTAGAAGCAGGGCTCCCAGCCCATCCTCACACTTTGTTCCACCATGCTGGAAAGTGCCAGACATGGAGCGAGGCCAGTTTGTTGGGAGAAGGACATGTCATGTCCAGGGATGCTCCTCTTGATCGCCCACAGGAGAACTAGGAAAGCTCATCCAGAAGATCCTCCCACCCTGGTGTTAGTTATCCACACCACCAGCAAGTTTGAGATGCTCCCAGGTGAGCCTGAACTTTGTCCTGCTTTCAAAGCAGCGTATCCACAAAGAAAATAACCCAAAATTAATAGTCTCAGGCAGCTGTGGAAAGAAGACCTGATGTGATGGGAGAATACCTCCAGGGAGGACACAGCTCTCACTGGGGGCAAAGCACTGGCACAAATGCCAACCTAGTATAAACCCCAGTGTAAACTGAGGCACAGAGGCTAGGCCTGGCCCACGGACACATAACGAATCATTAAGAAGCTGGGCTGGAGATCCAGACCTTCTTCTCTGACCTGCTCTAGCCCCAGGGCTGGATCTCTCCCCAGGCAACGCTAAGGCCATAGCCCACCTGCAGGTGGGATGGGACAGTGCTCTCCATCCCTGCAAACCCCACCATGTGCACCCACTGCCTCTCCACTACGTTCCCACGCAGCAGGGCTCTATTTATAGAGACCTCAGCCGCTAATTATAGATCCCAGCAATCAAAACAAAAGGAGGCAAACGCTCTGCACTTGCCATTCTCTGGCTCCATCCCCTCACCCTGGCACAATTTTGGGCAGCTCCCATACCTCAACCGACACCTCCCGAACCGCCCCGGTACCGTGGTGCCAGGCTGCTCTCCTGCTGCAGCAGCAGGGGTGGTTTTGCTGGGGACTGCAGGGTGTTTTACCAGGAGGAACTGAGATGTTGCACAGCAGGAGGCAGCATCAGAAGGCTGCAGCTGCAGGCACCGGTTTGGGCATCTCCCCCTGGGCAGAGTGTGCTGGGATGCACTGGGCAGGCAGCAGCCAGGGGAGGTTTTGCTCACTGTCCTGGCACAAGTCCCCCCTTGACCCCTTGAGCGACTGAGTATGATCCCTCCCACCCTGGGCAGGGTTGTTTCCCTACAGGATGAGGATTTTATCCTCTCTACTCTCAAATATCCTGAAGTATCAATGGTCTAAGCTCCTTGGGTGACTCTTCCACCACCCAAACAAGTCTCTGGATGCATTTGCCCTGGCCTAGTTTTTTTGGAAGGCTTTAGCCTTGCACTCCATGCAATATAGAATCAGGGAATGTATCTCTTGGGAAAACCAAGGAAGTGCCACAGGACCAGCATGGGGAGCATGTCGGGGCAAACATCCTCAGATACTCGCAATGCAGCAGCTTGTCCCCAAGCCTGTCCCCAGCTCCCTGCCACCCTCTTTCCTGCCTTCCCTCAACTCAACCTAAGACTGTTTTCGCCATCCTCCAGCTGCAGCCGAGAAACATCAGCCCCTGAACACCATCTGGCCCAGCACAGAGGTTTATCAAACGGCAGGAGCAAGCCAGCACCGAGGGGTAATCACGGTGGTTCGGCATGGGAAGGCAACCCCAAGCGATCACCCAACCTCCGCATCCACCCACGGCTGGGAGGGAGGAATTTCTGCAGGTCTGAGCAGGCTCGGCTTAGCCAGGGCTCGGCAGAGCCGGGAACAGCCACTGGCACACTCCCTGCAGAGGAGAAGGGGATGCAACCCCCTTGGCATTCCCAGAGGCCAGGCAGGCTCCGGGTGCTGGCAGGAACGGCAGCCAGTGCGAAAGAGGGAGAGCCCAGGGAGCGAGTCTGGGGGCTCAGCCTGGGTCTGAGGGGATGGAGGCCCACACCTTGTGCCTGTGCTCCCCATTGCAGCCATCACACAGGACTGGTTTGGATTTTCAGAGTGAAAATGTGGCAGAGAAGGGACAGAGAGATGGAAAGACATCCAGAAAAAAGGTGGCTAAGCAGGAGCATGGAATTGGGATCAGCTTGGGGACACCCATGGGCAGGTCTCAGGAAGGGTCTGATGCCAGCAGGGTGCCTGGTGCCCACTTGTCCCACCTCCTGCTAAGGGCTTTGCATGCCCAAAATGCTCTGATCCAACACCAAACTTGACCCACCCCATGGCAAAAGACTCCTGCACCGAAGTCTGCCCCATCCCATGGCCTCTGTGTACTGAAGCACCAACATCTTTGGGGACCGCCCAAGGTTCCTCCCCAAGCTCATGGCTGGACTTTGAGCCACCCCTCTACATCCTGCCGCTCTCCAGTCCACCAGGAGCAAGGAGTGGAGCCTCCCTCGCCGGGCATGGGAGCGTCTCTTCCGCCATCACCAGCCCAGGACTCCCCTCCCAAGCCCACCCCTCCTTCCCCTCCCACTTTTAATAAGAGCAGAAATTGCCAAACCCACAAAATTAATGTCTAACAGGTTCAAGGCAGAGCAATTCAATCCCCGTTTGCAGCAGCCTGGGAGGTCTCCGGCCAGCTGCCACCCAGCTCCTGGCACACTGAGGAGGCCACCCCTGTGCCGAGACCCCCACAGGACCCCCACCAGACTCCTGGGGGATGCAACCGGGGGTAAATCATCCCTGCATGGGCTACAAAGTGGATGCCCCATGCAAAAAACCATGTGCCCGCTTTGTGTGGAAGAGGCAGGTCCCTGTCCTGTGGAGGTGGTGGGGACCCAGCAAGGAGCTGGCACAGCCAGAGGGGTGGAGAGCCACAGGCAGGGAGCAGGCAAACACCTCAGGGGGGGAAAAACAGTGTCCCCCAGCAATGTTCAAGGTGTGGTGGGCAGGGAGCCGAGTGCCCCATGGGGACACGCCTGCTGACAGCCTGACCCACATCTACCCACGCTGCACACCTGCACGCTCCCTTTATTTGGTGTTTTTTCCCAGCTTTTCCCCTTCTCAAGGGGAAAAAAGCCCAAGAGGTGCCTAGAGAACTGCCAGATGCTCCTCCATCCTCTACATGCTCTCCAGCAATGATCCTCTGCAGTGCCACGAGGTCCAGAGGGCAGGGCATGGCGCTGACGCACTGCCCGTTGGCTCCTGCCCACATGCAGCAGCACCTGAAGGTGGTCAATCTCCCCAGGATGCCAAACAGCAAGAAAAACATTTAAAATTGTGTTTTCCAACATCCTTCCACCTTTCCTAGGATCAGGGCATCTCCCCACCCCAGCCAGCCACACACTGCTCTCCTGTCACTGCAGGACATGAAACACCAGCTCAGTGCAGAGCCAGGCTGCAGAGGCACTAGAAATGCACTGAAAGCCTCCACCGCTCCTACCCGAGACATTTAAATTATTTAGGGCACTTGGATCAACCCCAAGAAAAAAAAAATAAATACAAACAAACTAGGCATGAAACTCGAGCGACGCCCATTGCGCTGCCATCCCCCCCCATCCCACCGTGTCCTCGCAGGGAGCCTCCCCACCACAAACACAGGTCCCCACACGTCCCAGCTCCGTTATCTCAGTGTGCCCAGCTTTGTGAGCCTCCTGCCCGGGCAGATCCCAGCACACAGAAGCCCACCGTGCCACGCCGTGCTGGCACGTTCATCCTTGGGCACCCTCCCAGGGGTTTGCCGTAGCCGGGAGGATAAATCAGCAGCCCTGGGCAATCACGGCAGGGCTGACCCCCTGGGATGGACATCCCCACCTCACAGCTCGCAGAGGATGAGAAGGTTTCCCTCTGTCTCCCTGCTCTGTTTGACCGAGGGGAGCAGTGCCGGCAGCACACCGTGGCTCCGGGGCGGATGAGCAGTGGGAAGGCATTCCAGCTGACCTACTTTCTACAGCATGGCCAAGCAGGGCCTCCTTCCCCAGCACTGCTGAGGCCACTCACTGCCACCAAACCCACCCCAGCTGGCACAGGGCAGAGCAGAAAGGAGTGAGGGGAACCCTAGGGACCCCACCAGCGCAGGGGCTGTCAGCAACTGATGAACCCCAGGCCAGGTGAGACCCACACGCCTCCTACACACCCATCCTCCTCTGTTGACCGTCCACCAAGCTCCCACGCAAACCCAGCAAGTCAAACCCAGAGAGTAAAACTCTTCATCAGTTTGGCAGAGGTCTCCCCACACCGTACCAGGAGCATCACCAGAGGCTCCAATGAGGCCAGCAGAGGTGGCCCCGGGTGATCACCGCGGTTTGAACATGGCCACACGCCTCCACCCGGCAGCACTTACCATCTCGTCGAGGGCGTAGCGCAGCAGCCCGTGCTCGTAGAGGATGAAGAACCGACGCTGCCATTTCTGCAAGAGAAGACAGCAAGATGGGTCACAGCAGGGCCCTGTTGGGGGACACCAGAGCTGCGCCCCACAGAGCTGGGGCAGAGAAAAGGCACCAAAACCCCTTCGTGGCAGGGGACTCATGAAAATGGGGCACATGCCCACGTTTCACTGAGCACGGGACCACAGCTGCCAAAAAAGCAGAGGGAACCTCCCAACACTGTGGGGACCATTCCTAAAGGGTGAATGAACATTGCAGAAGTCTTTCTGCTCAGCCCTTCACACCCCAAACCCAGCTGTTTGGGGTGTTGTGGGCTTTGCAAAGCAAGGTCCTGTCAGGCCATCTGCCAGGGCTCTGCCAGGGGTCTGCTCGCACCAGCCCACATTGCTCAACACTGATTTACTGGCTGGCTTCGTTAGCACCCAAGAAGAGGCTGTTTTGGGGTTGCTTCCCCACTCCTCTCTGCATTCAGACAGACCCCAAGATGGCCTGGTTTAACCATATAGGGGACAATATAACCAGAGGGAAAAAAAAAGACTCTAGCTATAGGCTAGAAACACAGCTTTCCTCCTCTTCCTCTCCTGAAGGACACCCACAAGCCCCGTCACTGCTCTCCAAGGGACCCAAGTCCAGCAGGACACCAGAAAGACCCCCCCGACCAAGTGCTCCCAGCCCTTGGCTTCATCTTGAATGGTCTATTCCAGCACCCATTGCTGCAGGATGCCATGCGAGATGTCCCCCAACAGTGCATCAGCTGGATCTGGCTGGTGGCTGCACCTCCGGGGGTGGCACCGCCTAGGCACCACGCTGGCACTGCTGCTTCTCCAGCCACACAGCAAACCAGACTGGAGAACTGATCTGGCTGGAAAACTGCCTTTTTTTTTTCCTCATGTGTGCCAGGTTGTTTTCAGCCAAGAGCAAAAACTGGTCGAGCAGGCTGAAATGAAAAAGGTCCTAGATTCATAGCCCCAGTGCAGCAATTCTTATCTCGCTTTTCTCAGCCCTTCGGGCAAAGTCCGAGGTGCTCAGGGACAAGCAAAACTACTGAGGACCCTGTGGACCTCCACATGCCCCAGCTTAGCAGGCAGCCACCGCTCTAGGTGGGGGGGGACAACCCAAGTCCCATGTCCCCACAGTACTGGGCCAGCAAGCCTGTGACTAACTGTGACTCCAAATAATGACCCATATACTCCAGGCTGAACTCAGAACCTAATTTTCCTGTTCACCCGGGAGAGACTTTTTTTTTTTATTACTAGCAGCTTGAAGAGCATTTTGGCTGCGTGACAGAAGGTTCACAGACCATTGCCATCCCTCCCACGCACAAGACAGCCCTGTCCTGGCAGCCTCAGCAGAAAGCTCCCTGGAAGATCAGCTTGGGGACAGGTTGGGAGTCCTCGCAGTGAAAGGACGTCAGCCTGTGGCCACGTCCTCACACCCCCCAGGGGCAGGAAAGCGGGTGATGCTCCAACCCCACACGATGCTGCTGTTTCTGCAAGGCACAAGCAAACCCCTTTGGGGAGGATCCGAGTGTGCCCCACTCTGTCTGTGGGTCTCTGCTCCCAACGCACTCAGCTTCAGAGCCCTGCAGGGTTATAGCAAACGGGAATCACCTCTCAGCCCCTTCCTTGCTCCAGGATCTGCCTGACACAGGGTTATTCGCATTAGGGGATGGGAATCAGCCTCCCTCCAGGGCTCTGGGCATGCCCATGAAGAGCTGCAGAAAATAAAGTAGTTGTTTCCAGGCACCAAAGGGAAACTAGGAGCCTCGCTGATGGTTCAGAGCCACACAGCCCACATCCCGCCGGCCTGAGAGCCTTCCTGTCAGCATGGCATGTGTCAGGCCAACCAGACCCCAACCAGAGCAGCATCAAGGCATCAAAAAGCAACAGCAACAGGCAATAAAAGTGCACGAACTGAGCCTGACTTGCATCTGCAGCATCCCAGTCTGCTGCCCAGCAGAGAAGGAAGTCCTCGCATCCCAGAGGAGGCATCTAAGCCCTGCTGCAGGGAACATCTCCCAGCTTCCTGGTTTGCACAAAAGGATGGATGCATGGAGGTGCATGCAGTACTCTTGAGGCCACAGCCACCCCCAAGGGCAGGGACAGGCCCTTGCTTCTCCTCCTGCCACCCCCACGAACAGCACAGGGAGAGGGCGTCTCAGCTTTCCTTACCCGGGAGCGATGGACAGGGTTGTCAAAGTCCGTTCCTTCTGGGGCCAGCAGCAGCCAGCCACCATAAATGGGTTTGGCCTGCAAAGAAACAGCAGAGAAACACATCAGGCAGAGAGGAAACTGCCCCACCATGGACCAGCACCGCGGGGGATGAATGGTTGGGGACCACGGGAAACTGCACCAGCCCCACCATTGCGGAGAACACTGTGCTCAATGACAACCTGTGGTGTTACATACACTCTGTGCAAACAGGACTGAGATGAGGGCTTGGGAGGAGGCAAAACCCCAGCCACAAACACCTAACTCAGCTGCTTCTGCCTGGCATCCTGCCCAGAGCACCAACCTCCTGGGTACAGCCAAGCTGCAGAGCCCGTCCTCCTCCCCGACAGCTCTTCCCCCGGCCATCGGCAGCGTGCCTCTACTCCAAAGCACAAACATACTCCAAAAGGAGAGCTCGATGTTTTCCTTTCGTTAATTAAGAGAGGAAAAACTACCCGGCGCTGGCAGGTCTCCAGCTCGCAGCCGCTTCCCGTGCCGTGCACATCCAGCACCCGTTTCCCCGCAGGGCTGGCCCCTGCCTCCCCGCTCCGCCGCGGCCGAGCTCGCAGGAAGGTCAGAGCCAGGCTGGGGGAAAACAGCTCATTCAGCCGGTTGGGAAGAGAAAGGGAAAGAATACCCGGAAAGAAATGCCTTACAGCACTGCCGTTTATCAGTGGAAAAAAAAAAAATAATAATAAAAAACCCCAAAAACATCTAGGCTCTTTCCATCGGTGGTTTGGGCGGAAAAAATAATAATAATAAAAAACCCAAAAAACATCCAGGCTCTTTCCATCGGTGGTTTGGGCGCAGAAGTGGCCGGTGGGAAACAGACCCCAAATCACGGCGAGCGGTGGGATGGGGATGGGCACCGGGCATGTCCTCCCCCGCAAAATCCCACGGGTGCCACTCCTGCTGCCTATCAAGCTGCAAACTATTAGCCAACCCCATTCCTGGCAAGGGCTGGGGCCAAATCCTGGTGCAAGAGTGGGGAGGCATTGCCACACCAGCGAGGCGGCTCCGTGGAGGTATCGGGATGGGCCAAGAGGGAGGAAACCCCAGGCAGATCCAGCTTCAGGAGGCCCCGAGTCCAGGGACGCTGCTTTCCACCATGAAACATCCGTGCACACCCAACCCCAGCCCGGCCACACAGCAACAAGGACAGACATTCCCAGCTCCTCTAGAAATTACTTGGTTAATCTCGTTGCTTTCCTCCTCTTCTTTTTTTTCTTTTCTTTCCTTAAAGCTTAAAACTGTTTCCAATTCGGTACCTCCCCTGGATTCCTCCTGCCAGTTTCTGTGGTTTTGTAATGTTAAAAAAAAAAAGTTTCCCCTCTGGAAAAATCCCTGCAAACAATAGAAGAAACTGCCTATTCACCAAAAACTGTCAAATGCATGAAGCACTGAGTAAGCAAACTGGAAACAAGCCGGAGGAGCCCTTTTACTGTTTATAAAGTGGAAAGAAATAACAAAATATCTTATCCCCCCCCTACAACGTGACATATCAGCCCTAGGTGTTGCTCTCCCAGCAGCTGGGAAAACATGATTTGAGAAGACCTTCCTTCCTTCCTTCCCCCTCTCTTTAAAAGGGATTAAAAACAATGAAAATGGGAGTACTGGGAGTGGAACCCAATTTTGGGGAGCTGCTTAATGTTCTCCCAGGGGCCCAGGGCACCCCTGCACCCCAACCTGTTCCCACCACCAGCCACCCCCACACTGGGAGTGGGGGGGTCCTTACTGGCACAGATGGGCACCCCACCAGCTCTGCAGCCCCCAGCCCTCCCTGGGTTGAGCCCCCTCGCTCCCCACCTTGCCCCCTAACTCACCTGGGTGCTGGCACCCTGCTCACCCGTGGCCCCCATGCTGCCCCCCCAACCCTCACCGAACACACCACCACCACAGCCGTGGCGGCACCCGCTCTGCGCCCGGCTCCGTGCCGCCCACGCCACGGGGTGAGCCGGGCTCCGCCACTCCCCCCCGGCGCGCCCCGCCGCAGCCCGCCCCGCGCCCCCACCCGAGAGGCACCCATGATGCACCCGTGCCCACGCCAGGGGGGAGAAGAGGACTTTGGAGCCAAGGTGGGGGGTCCCATCGCACCCGGAATGTGGCCATGGGCCACCCTGGGCAGGGCCACTCACAGTGGCCTGTCCCAGATTTCTCTTTCGTTTTAAAAGCAGAATCGCAAATAACTGATCAACTAATTAAAGGTGACCCGGGGAGTGCCTTCAATGGGTCACTGTGGCAGGGAAGGGGGGGTCCCCAACGAGAGGCACTCGCAGTGTACTCTGAGCAACCGGCTCCAGTGCTTGAGAAGACACTGTGACTGGCCTTCATCACCCAGGAACGAAGAGTATGACAGTAGAGGCAGGACGTGGCATCCCCAACGCTTGACACCACCATAAGGAGCCATCAGCGGAGCGGTGATTCCATGGGCAGCCAAGCCACTTGTGGGGCTCAGCCCCCCTCCATTCCCCTCCATGCCCCACCACAGCCCCTGGGCAAGGCCAAACGTCCAACCCAGCGAAGCCCCATGAGCAGAATCCCTTCCCCAACACAAGCCACAGCACTGTAGCCCCCTCGGCGGGACCATCCCATGTCACCCCCATCACCCCAGCAGCATCCAGCCCCACAGAGCCCCCAGCTACATCAGCAGCGGGCAAGTCCAGGTGTCACAGCAGGGATGAAGTGACCTTGAAACCCCAACAGGGGACACCATCACCAGGGTCAGCAGCGAGCAGCCCTGACCCAGTGTTTCAGGCATCAAGCCCTGCCCTACCTCAGCCTGGCTCACACCCCTCAGCAAACATTATTTTGCCCTCAGCCTCTCCAATTTTGGTTCAACCAACTGTATATAAAGCACCGAGCACCTGAAATACATGCCCTTAACACAGAGCACCGTCGTTTCTTTACTGGCATCATAAAAAAAAAAAAAGCACCAGTGGGCTATACTTACTTGGGCAGAAGCATCCAATTTCAGATATTGAAACCAAAATAGCTGAAAGGTATGAGTTAGAGCCAGCCGGCGTGGGCAGCCCGCTTCCACCCGCCAGCAGATGAACGCTCAGCAGCGCTTTTTAAAGCCAAACCAAAACAAGCTGCAGCTAAAACCAAGCAAATGCCCAGAGAGGTACAAGCCTAAATAAAAGGGATGTGAATTGGCGCACAAAGTGTCTGAAATAAACCCGTCACACCTGCATGGGAATGGCTCTGCTGAAGCCAGGTTTAAAATAAACCCGCTCGATGCTGCCGTGGGAGGCAGGTCCCAGGGAAGCGTTACCGCACCGGGATGGAGCTGGAGCCACACGTCGCTTGGCACCAGCTCAGCTTCCTCCGGAGAGCTCAGCAAGGGGAGGAAAACACAACACCCAGCACCGAGCAGGAGCTCAGAGCACAAACTCCCCCTGTTCAAGCAGATCTGTTCAACCTCACGCTAAGGTTAGAGAAACCCTGGGGGTTCCCAGGATGCCTTTGACCACGCAGAGCCCCCTCTGCCTCCCGCAGGCTCCGGCGATGTCCCAAGGGCAGCTCTGGGAGGTTTTCCCCGCAAGCAGCAGCCACACGGGATGCTCGGGCGCTGGGTGGCTTTGCTTTTATCCAGATGATACCTGGCCGAAGGGCGAGCCGCAAAACGACATGGAGAGCAGAGCGGAGGGCAGTTGCCGGCAACGCGGTGTATCCACGTCTGGGGTGGGGTGAGGAGCGCTCCCAGGGCAGGCAGGAAGAGGAGAGCCGGTTCCTCCGGCACGGCTCGCGGTGACGAAGCCAACCACCCACCACGACCTCGGTGGGGAGGTGCCGAAGCTGCTGCCGAGCTGCTCCAGGAGAGATCTGCAGGCACCTCGCTGCCCCAAGGAAGTGATATAGCCAGGGTACCTTCCGGGGGGCACCACCACGTGTGGGGTGAGGCCGGGTTGGACCCCCACAATGCCCAGTCCCATCCCATGGGACCGGTGGAGGCTGACTCAGGATGAAACGTCACCGTTCCACTTCCTGTCGCACCTCTGGGAACGCCCAGGTATCCCATCCCGCCTCTGATCTCACCCGACCCTGCTTAGCTTTAGGGCCCACCACCAGAGCTATGCTGTTGGGGTGCTCCACAGCCCCTCACCTGCCTCTCGGGCCACTGCCCTGGTCACCGCATCCCTCCCCTTGGCCCGTAGCCCTGTGATGCATCAAGGAGGAGGACACTTGCCTCCAGCCCAGGGCCGGCGCTGGCAGCACGGCGGGTGGGAGGAAGCGGAAAAGGAAGTGGCCCCAGCTTGGTTTACACGAAGCTGTCAAGCTGCTGCACTGATGCTGCCCAGGCACGGACAAACCACCCCATCCCAAGCAGCTCCACCAGCACTGGGAAGGTGATTCCCAGCAGCCAGGAGACTGGGCTCGAAGGATGTGCAGAGGCACACAGCCCTTCCCAAAGCACAGGGTGATCCAGGAACCCTTCCACATCCCCAGGGCTGCAGGGCAGAGACGGGACAGTGACCTGCTTCCAGAGGACAGATCACAGGAGCCCAACAGCCCACAGAGCACCAGGTCACAGGGCTGGAAGTGGGCTGTGACACCAACCAGGGTGCCTGTTGGACAGGCTTTCACGCCTCCAGTGTTTGTTGGTGGTACCTTCACTTCTTCCCCTCCCCATGCAAACCAGCCAAGCAGGCTGCTCGGCAGCACCGTGCCGGCCATGTGGTTCCCCACAGGAGCTCACTGCTCACGGTGGAACAGGAGAGCTTCGCTGACATCCACATCTCCTCTCAGGGTCCAGACTCAACCTTGTGGCAGAGCACCCACACCCCCACCGGGGCGCTGGGACACCCAGGAAGGCTGGAGATGATCCCACAACCCATCCCCACCCATCCCAACATGCTCCGAGGGAAGTCCGAATCCATCGCCGGGAGAGACTCCTGGCTCCCAGCGCGTGGCGGGAGGGATAATCTGTTTAGGCTGCCGGCAGACGTCATCAGCCTGTCTCGGGTGGAGGCAGGGCTTGTTTTGTTCAGGCTTGGCAACTGAGCGGGAAGGGGGGGAAAAAAGGAAAAATGGACTGTGGCAGCAGAGCTTTAGCCTCTGCCTCCCACACTGAACACACTGTGCATGGGGGAAGCTTGCAGGGGGTTCCAGCAGCCCTGCACGAACACAACAGCCCCAGCCTGACCCAGGCTGTGGGTAACTCCCACAGTAACTTCCATCCCACCACCTTTATGAGTTTAGTCCCATTATTCACCAAAGGGGCCTCTCTGGAAGCAGCCCCTGCTGCTCCCTGCTCACATCTCTGGGTGCTCAGTAACAGCATTGCAGCTCTCCACTGGACCCACAGGAGACCACGGTCCCAGAGCAGAGAAGGCAAGGTCACCATCCCCTGTGTACCAACTCCCTCAGGGCTCCCTGGAGGGAGGGACCAGTTTCTGGCACAGCTCAAGGGGAAAAAAAAAAAAAAATCACCACAAACTCTGTAGTTGCAACCTCAAAAGAGGAAATCTGGGCGGTTTCAGCCCCGCTCTGCTCTCGGTTTTGTACACCTTGGAGCCTGAGAGAACATTGCTGATGGGTGAGTCGGAACAGCCGTCACCTGGCAGGAATGGGGAAGGTGACATAGTATTTGGGGCAGGAATGGGATGTGATACCCAAAGTAGGCTTTCCTGCCCACAGCAGGGCTTCTAGGAACCAAGAGACCGACATGGCTTTGCATTTTGCACGCTCCCAGCGGGATGCCACACGGATGGCCTCACACCCAGGACCCCAGAGGGTGGGGAGGATCTGCAAACCCAGGCTCCAGTGGCAATCAGGATGGCCAGGGATATAGCCCAGCCTTGGTGGTTAAGCCACTGACATCTCAGCTTCCCTGCCCCTACAGTATTTCCTCTCTGCTGTATGTCACTTGGCAATGGGCAGTAGAGCAGGGCCAAACCCCAGCTCTACATCCAGACTCACTGCCCCCGGGTTTGGTCCAAGCTCAGCTTCCTCCAGCCCAAGACCTGGGCAGCCCCTGGGGACAGCCCTGGATGCATGGGGACATCCTCCCCTCCATCCACGTCCCACCCTCCTGCAAAACCCCATTTGTGGGCATGAACCAGCTGCTGCTGAAGCTGCAAATCACCTGGGCCAGGTGCTCACCACCAACACATCTCACCCTGCAGGAAGAGGCCAAACCAGACCGGACAGACCGGACCTGGGGTGTGAGGAACATGAGGCACCGCCGCCGTGGGGGCGGCCGGCGGGCACCGGGCACAGCACAGCCCTCCCGGCAAACCAGCAGTCCTGACCCAGCCACTGGCAAACCTCAAAGAAAGGAGCTGCCCGGGCAGTTTGTTGCGTGGGCAGCGGGAATGACCGACCGACCGGAGGAACAGGAAGGGGAAAGGCTGAATTCACCCTCCGTGCAAACAGCCCTGCAAACACCCTGGCCCTGGCCCCAGGGCTGTGCTTGGGTCCATCAGCTGCTCGGGGCACTCGGAGCAAGGGCTGGACGAGGCCAGCTGCAGTTTGCACGGGCAATTTGTCAAGCAGCAGAGAAATGGAAGTGGGATGGAATGGGCTCTGCAATCCCTGCTCCCCCTCCTCGAGCAGCCCCAAAGCCCGGCCTGCCCCACAGCGAGCAGGCGTATCTAACTACCTCCCACATCGGGGCTTCCTCAGCGCCGGGGAGAAGCCACAACATCTCTTCAGAGTGGTGGAGAGGGGATTTATCACTTCCTCGGGTGCCAGAGTAGATAAGGTGCGGCGCCATGCAAAAAAAAAAAAAAACACCAAACCCATCAGCAAATAAGCGAAGTAAGTGTGCAAAGGAGAGGGCTCTCCAGCACCTAAAGGCACCACCATCTCCCTGCGCCCTGCAGAGGGTCAAGTGCACCCAAAGCCGACCCTGGCACCCAACCTCACATTTCTCCTGAGCACCCACTGCCCTCACATCACTCTCCGAGGGTGGGATTTAGGCACCGTGACCCTGCCCGTCCCAGCCCCTCTGGCCATGCCCCCCAAGGTCCCTGCCTGCTGCAGCCGCTGATGGAGGCGGGTTTGACATTTGCAGAGAATCTCCCCCTGTTCAGTCCTAATAATTAGGCAGATTTTTGCAGCATGATACAAGCAGCCGGGAACAGGGGAGGCAAGCGCAGGGGTTGCTTTCCAGGAAAAGGGGGGCTTTTCCTTCCCCGAGGAGCAAGGGATGGAGGCGAAAGTGTGGCTGGGACATGATCCCTCACCCTGCCACCCATCGGACAACGCACAAAGCCAGGACAAGACCCCATCCCAGGGCATCACAGCCCCATCCAAGCAAAGCCCCTGAGCAAAGCCAAGCCTGTGACCCAACGCTGACACTCTCTGGCCCCGGGGCTGCTGGCGGCCGGCTGTTCAGCGTCCAGAACAGTAGGAAAGTGATAATGTCCAAAGGAGGAGAGATGGAAATAACCACCAACCCCCCCCCCCC